GCAACAGTGTTAATTTTGACAGCAAATTTCGATTTGGTTTTAGTCAGTCTTTTGACTAGTCTTTTGACTATGGTAACCTGTTATTACTGATGGTATTAAGGTGTTAACATGCAATACAGACACAGATTTAACTGTTGTGATAAATAACATGTCTTTATCATTAAAAGACATTTACCTTAAAATAAATAGACATTGGATATGCATTAATTATAACAACTTGCATATGACATTTTTCCTTCTTTTTAAAGCAGAAGTGCAACTCTAAAATATTAAAATAAAAAACTATATTGGGTGTAATGCCATTGCACATATTACTTATTAGCCGTCCATTCAGGAAGGAACCGAAACTGGAATTCGAAAGTTCTGACTTTAGAATTCCCAAATCGTGTCTCCCTAACAATTTAGTCTAGTTTTAGTTAGTTGACTAAAATGTCAATTTATTTTTGTTATAGTTTTTATTTAGCTTTAAATCTAATTTTAATCACTGAAAAAGTGTTGTTGATGAAAACTGTGACAAAAAATATTAGTTGACAAAATTAACACAGGAGTGAGGAATAAGGAAAGTATAGCTGTTTATTCTTCTGCCCCTAGACAAAATAAGCAATTATCCCTTGCAGTGCATGGTAGCACCACTGAAAGGGTCATTTCTGCACTTAACTCAAAGTTCACCTTTAAAGAGCAATGTATGTAGTTATGTACCCATAATATGGGGTACTACAATATTATGTGTGCCTACCTTTCAGCATGCTATTATGCAGTTAGACATTGCAAACAAAATATTCCATGGTTATGCAGTTTAAGCTCAGAGTTGGCAGTAATGAGTTGTGTTAGCAACAAAACACAACCATTGTGTAGCACTGCAAAGCAGAAAGCAGAGCCCTGCAGATGTAATGAGCAAATTTGGCTGCTCCCATTTACATCTATATTTAGAAACTAGACATGGAAACAAGACTAGCACACATTGGCAACATTTTTTACATAAAGTTGATATATGGCATGCACTCCCATGCAGAGATCTGCTCTCGGGAGGAACAGGTGCAGCATTGTAATTGTGTGTAGCTTCCTGTATATCCCTATGACAGGACATAACTGTATGTGGCTACACACCAACCCGAAACTACGCATCCATGCAGGCAAGGGTGCACGCACTTGGACGCAGACTGTCTGCATCTATCTGGGATGTACAGACGGCTGCACTTAACTACACGCTGCACTTGTCCCTCCTGAGAGCAGTTCTCTACATGGGTGTGCATGCCATAGGGATACAGTCCCTTTAAATTAAGTCGTTTTATGCTGAATGATTTTTGTCCCTGTCACTCTTAACTTTTCTCATCTTTTTACAGCATGCACAGGTGAGTTGAAATCCAGAAAACTGAAGGTAAAACAAAAATGACATCCAAAAAAAAAAAATGGTGATAGAAAGTCATATTTTCTTAATTACAATGTTGCTTCATTGCATTAGCATAAAAGAAAAGAAAAAAGCGACAAACTGATTTTCACATCAAACAGAATAATCTGCTGATAAAGTTTATCACAAAGATTGATAAATTGTTAATCAAAATATTTATTGTTGAAGAAAAGTGAGAATGAATGAACAGAGGTCAGTGATGTAAGCAGTGTTCCTTAACGTTATTAAATAGGTACCCCTTGTATGTACCCTTTTTAATAAAAGGTTAAATATCCCTACTGTGTGTCCCCTTATCTCAAGTATCCCTTGTACACTGTATGTGCATTTATTACTTCCTCATTGTACATACATATTTTCCAAACAAGTAAAAATGTTAATTCCTGAAAATTGGTTTACTGAACCAGACAAAAGTATCGCCCTTGGGTACCCATACCATTAGCTGAGTACCTGTAGTTTTAAAGAAACCATGTCACATTGGAAAGAATGTTGCTGTGAAATAATGTCCCCTGAAGTCCACTGGAAAACCAAAACTTAGAGTGTCAACTTCCAGGGTCTGCTGCAGCTGACCTCAATGTCATTACTGGACTCAGTAGTGATGTGGAGGTCCGAGGGAGAAACTAGCGAGAGCTGTGGGGGACCACGGAGATCAACACTCCAGAAAGTGTGTCAGTTTTCTAGCAGACTTCAGGGGACATCTTTGCAGGAGACGTAATTATTCTCTTTCTTATTTACAGGTATGTGCTTTCCCCAAACTTTTTTTCCTTATGTGACTAGGTCTTTAAACGTTACCTAAAGGCCAAGTCCACCAAGAATGTAACTTTTTGCTATCAGTGAGTTGAATCACCCATTGGCTTCTTATATCTCTGTAGTATTCCAGGGAAGAACTCTTTGCCACTGGATATTGAAGAATATAAGAAGCTAGTTGGTGATTAAAACTTGTATTTCTTTTTTTAAACGCTTTTGAATTTGGGTTTGAAAAGCCTAAATCTTAAAAGATTGTTGAAATCATTTTGCCTAGTACTACCTAGTATTCCACAGGATCTAGATTCTCAAAGCTGCCTTTAAGCCTTCCTGATTGAGTTTACTGTGTAGGTCTCTTTAAAGGCACACACTGTAGGTACCCACTTGGTTTAATACTTGTAGTGATAACATGTGTGCTTCTGTGAGGAGAATTATTATTGTGGCTATAAGCAGGTTTGGAAATGTCCACAGTGAAATAGCTCTACATACAATATACAGTATACC